TATGACATGAATGTCATTGATATTATTAGTGTATTGCACAAAATTTTCCCGTCCTGTTCTTCACCCGGAATGAAAATCTGCATCCCGTATGTGGCTCGCAATAGCTTTGACTGATTACTGAAGGTAAGGGTTGCGATTTTATTAATAGTGTGTATTTGACCGAGAAGTTCGCTTTGCAGGTCCCATGGTAAGGGAGGGGAAACGCATCGCAGTTATTCTCTACACTCAGTATTTCAATTGCAAACTTTGGTTGTTTGGGACTCCGATTTCCCAAGAATGATTGGACAAGAGTTTTCAATCTACACTGATCCATCCTCGGAGTTATTTGAAACTTATTGTGTAATTTCTATTCGCTCTTCTACAACAATGGTATCAGGATTCTGAGTTGCACGAACTGAGAGCCACCATCGATGCATTACGTTCCCAAACTGGATTCGGGCTGTCCAAGCTTTGGCCCAAACCACAGCAACACTCAAACGACACAGTCGGTAGCAAAACCAATGCAGAACGTGGGAAGACCACGACTGGCTCTTCAATCAGTCTTACCGGGCAGACGACACAACAACCAGACCGATCCGATTCGGTTCAGCCTGTTTCGCAGTCGGTACTTTCATCACCGCACAAGGGGGTCACCCAGTCCACGTCGAAAGAGAGCGAGCTTGGTTCGAAGAAGAATACCGGATGGGTAAGTCCGATAATTCTTCATCCTATGATGAAATTGCTTTCACTCTACTCTTCATTTGTTGCACATGCAATGTTATAGCGGCCGATCACAAGCTGTATCAGGTTGTACGGAAATATGAAAGATAAACAGTGACCGTCGTGGCGGCAATGGGATTCAAACCCGCAACCTTCTGGTCAATGTCATTGTGGCTTTGAACGCTGCATCACTAATATTTCTCTCAGACTGTTTCATATTCATTTTTACGGCTATTTATCTGAACTCAGTAGCACATTAGTTAGTTCAAACGTTTTAAAAGTAATCTTGTCAGTTGTCGACTTGTGCTACCCCAAACAGGAAACAGCACAGCTGTTTCTGTTTGATCGATGCAGTCTGCTTCCCTCGACCGAAGTGAATTGGGTACCAGTTGGGATAGATCACATGTGTACCATCCAGGTGAACGAATACTCGACAGTTGATCAGACTAATTAGTGGCTCCCACCCCATCTCTGTCTCTGTGGAATAGCACAAGCCTAGAACAGCTTACCGTAATCTCTCGTTTTGGTAGCAGACTTTAACAGTTAGATATCTGTTGGAATTATGTAAACTGGGTTTGAAAGTAAGCGGCGAGAGAGAGATTGAATAGGATTGAGTTAGAAACTACCTCTGTTATTAGGATCTGGGTTTCTGTGCAAGAAAAAGGTAATACATATCTGTGGTCAAAAATACAACTAAAAATCACATAAATATAATTGCGCGAATGAGTGGAGATGCCCATTTTCTACGATGTTTACAGGTAAATATCAAACTCGTGCGATACCCTGAAACCTCCGTTCTGATTTACTTACTCCCTTCAAAGCTCAGTGTCATATGATTTTACTCAACATCAGCTGTACCATATCTGAGCTTCTTAGTTAATTCTTTCAAACACGTCCCGATTGCTACCCTATTTGCACCTCATTGATTTTGTGCATCCGGGAAGGGGGGGAGGGGGGGGCAAATTTTGCACCCTGGTTGCCAACGACCTTCGTGAAATAATAAACTAACGTGCAGTTTTGCATCAATTAATTTTTTAATTCTGAATTGTAACTTTGAACCTACTGCAAACGTTATCGTGTAATTCAAGGTCGCGCAAAATAAAAACTGGGATTCAAACGACCTAAGTACATTGCACTGGGCGAGCGAATTCGAAGACTGAAATGTATTCCTAAATTGGCAGTCACGTTGCACAAGTCCGATCGCTGCCTTTATTTTCCGATTATCTGATTACCGATGGCTGTCTCCGTTGATCATTCGGGAAATTAACGTGGGTGTGGGCAAACAGAAACATAAATGTATCAGTGTTTCCTACAAACAATTTCAGCTAACATGTACTGAAACTGTCATTA